CCCATCCAGTCCCAGTCGGCGGCCATGCGATTGTAGATATCCTGGGACTGCGCATTCGTAATGCCAAAATAGTGTACGTTGGCAAGGCGCACCTTCATGTCTCGGTAGCTGAACGTGGAGGCAAGAACACGTCCAGGGACGACTGGTGCATGCTGCATGGTTGCGGCACCTGTCCATGCTTTTGACCAGGCAATAAGCGCGCCACCTGGAATCTCGTTGTCCGTAGCAGAGCACTCAACATCGAACTTGCCAGACACTGGCTGCGTGATATCGGTGACGTATTGATCGTCGCCGTGGACTTCCTAAACGAAAAAGACATCGACGTCTTTATGCTGTTCGGCCAGGGGGACATTTTAGGCCGAGCCCGCCGAAAGGAAGTATTCGCAAGTGTCTGCATGTTCCAAGAGACATGCTGGAACCGACCGTGCCAAGTGCCCAGAAGGCGGCCCATAGTCAAGAACGGGCTGAATATAATGTATGGTGCAAACAGCTTGGGGGGCGCGACCCACTTCCACTTCCGGAGAAAGCAGCCAAGGAGCGGCGGGAATCAATAGCAGAGTCCTAATTTCCTCGAGTAAGTGGCGTCCGCTCCAGCTCCGAGTGGTTGACCCATATCGTCGCCTTGTCGTTGGTGTCGCCCCAACGTCCCTGAGCGATTCATACCGAGTTGAAGACAATGGTGGAGGACTTCTTGACGTAGAACGGTTGACCAGCGTATTGGGGAAGACGTGCTTGAAGATCTTTGTAAAACCGTGTGGAGAGAAATTGAGGCGCACGGACCGCAAGAGGAACATCAGGATATAAGTAGGCCTTGACAGGGCCCCATGGATTCTTGATGGTGATGACCTTCAAGTTCCCAGTATCGTCGTGGCAATGGTTGAGGATCGTTTTGGCGGCCGTAGCGGCAGCAACTGGAATGCCGGCCACGCGGATGGTGTAGTTATTCTCCACGGCACCGCCCATAAGGGAGATCCGGTGCTCAGCGACCTTGGCGGCTTTGGCCAGCTCAATGACGAGGGCGTGGACCGCTGCATGCGACACGAAGACTTCGGTATTGAACCGGATGATGGTGGCGTCGCACTCCGTTGGAGGAATCTGTTTGAGGGCCGATTGGATCTCGGCTCGGGTGGTAGCAGTAGGCTGCTCTGCGAGGCCCATGCGCTGGAAAAGTCGGCGACCTGCTGTTTGAGCTCGTCGTGCTGCTGCTCGAGTCGGGATACACTCGACGACACAATGGCGACCTGAGCCGCCTGCGACGCGAATTGCGCCTGGTAGGCCTCGTCCTGTTTGGAGAGAGCTCTGGCAATGCTGAGCTCGACCTGCGAGAACTGTTTGGTGACTGCAGCAGTGGCGGCCTCAATTGCGACGACTCGGATAGCCTCCATTGCGGACTTCTTGATGTCATTGGAGAGGGCGTCACGGACCAGCGAGAGGAACTTCTCGTCGACCTGAGGCTCAAGCTTCTCGCCGCCACCAGGTGTGGCGTAGACCGACTTGTCAGCACCGTCCTGGATGCGTTGGCGCTTATCGGCACCAGCAGGGGCACCAAGTTCTTTGTAATCTCAGGCCAACCAACACACTTGCGAGAGAGACGAGAAATCTGCTGCAGCGGCAAAGCATGCACTGCGCGTGCGGCAAGAGAGAAACAATTGGAAGTCCAGTGGTGTCCGCCTGCGCTTCACACGTAGGAAGAGCCTACTGCGATAAGTTGCCCGCTCAAGCCTTGAACCATGTTGATGTTGATGTTGATGATGCTGATGTTGATGCTGCTGATGATGGTACCGACGGCAATGATGATGCTGATGATGATGATGCTGATGATGACGATGATGCTGCAGCAGCAGCTGATGATGATAATGATGCTGATGAGGATAATGCTGACTATGATGATGATACTGAGGGGGGGAGAAGAAGGATGAGGAGGAGAAGAAGAAGAAGGGGGAGGATGAGGAGGATGAGGAGGAGGAGGAAGAGGAGGAGGAGGAGAAGGAGGAGGAGGCCGACGCCAAATCTAGTCTTCGAACTAGTCACCTCTTCCCCTCTTTGTCGTCCTCCTCCGCCTGCCCTCCCTCCTCCCTTGCTCCTTTCCCCCTCTGCCACGTTGTCATGTTGGCAGGCAGGTGGGTATTGCAACATCGGGGACCAGCTTAAAATCGAGGGTATGCTGGTACGTCCAAATTCGAGGCACACGCCGTAACGGTCTGGACGGCCTACGCTTGCATCAAGCGTCCGCGCCTGTCTGCTCCCTCCCTCCCCCCTCTCTTTCCCTCTCCTCCCCCGCTTCTTGCCTCGGGCGGGCGCGCGCGCGCGCCTAAACGGGGGGGGTGTGTCGGTGGCGCAAGTCCCCTGGCCGCGCGTCCGCCCCCTCTGCCTTCTGGTCCTCTTCCCGTTCCTCCCCCCCCCCCCGTCTTCACACCTCCCCTCCCACGGCGCTTGCGTACCCATGTGGCCCCAGGACTGGTCTCAACAGGAGGCCTTCCTTATACCCTGGAGGCCACAGTTTGCTGAAAAGCTGTGAAGTCGAGGACGGACTGGCCTCTCCCCCTGCTGCTGCTTGTTGGCCCGGAGGAGGAGGAGGAGGAACAGGAGGAGGAGAAGAAGGGGGAGGAGGAGGAGGGGGAGAAGGAGGAGCAGAAGGAGGACGAGGAGGAGGGGGAGGAGGAGCAGGGGGAGGAGGATGAGGAGGAGGAGGAGGAGGAGGAGGGAGAGGAGGAGGAAGAGGAGGAGGAGGAAGAGGATGAGGAGGAGAAGAAGGAGGAGGACGAGGAGGAGGATCAAACAGGAGTAAACATCTTACAGAGTCCTGCCTCTACCATGTAAAAGGGACCTGGCGAGGCCCAGGAGAGACTACCCAATGGGCCTACCCATGGTCGGGTGCTGGCCCTTCCACAGACGATTCAAGCGACCCTGTGCATTGTCACTATGACCCTTGCACTCGCTGTTGCTGAGATTCTGCCAACGCTTCTGAGCGTGGCAAACACACACACACACTCGGGAGATAGCATGGCCTTGCCGAGGCACGAGCTGGTGACGGTTTCTTCGCACCAGTTCGGCTCGGAGGGCCTCGTCGGGGCCCGCTCCCTATGGAGGCCCTCCAAGCCTGGCCAGAGGGCGTCCAACCTCCTCGGATGTCCCGTCCGCTTCCCCGACGCCTCCACGACGCTCCACGACCCCACTACCCGTCCCACTAGTACTCGAGGCCTGTAGCGGTCCGTCCTTTACCGTGTCTACTACATCAGACGACAATGCTAGGACTTTGGCATTACATTGCAACATATTCTGGACTAGCTTAAACTCGCACAGGTATTTCTCGACGTGCCATTCGGGGTACACCAGAGAGGCTGCTCCTAGCTTGGCTCCCCTATCGGCCGCCCTGTTGCCCTGGAAATGTTTTGTGCCCATAGCCTGACGCTCGGCCACAAAGGCATGGGCCTGCATTTTTCCTATCTGGACCATCTGTAGGCCCAAACCACCTAGCTCGTCTACTAAGTGCCAGGCCCATCTCCATTGGCTGGCATGCGGGTTCGAGCAACGAGTGCACCATTCCATCCTGCGAGCAAAGCCGTCTACAACGTTTTTGTAGTCCGACCATATTCTGAGCGGCACCGTTCCAGCTTGCAAAGCCATCATGCTGCGTGCGACTCAGCACATAATATTGACTGCTCTGCTTGTGGCCGCGGCAGCGGCCCATGCATGGCGAAGATCTGTTCTCCGCTGTCAATGACTTGCGCATAGCACCACCCCGCACGTCTGATGGGGCCGTGTCTGCCGTGCAACTGTGAGCCATCAGCGTAGACGTCACCCGTGAGGATGTCTGGGGCTGTGCCTATCAGCGTGGCTCGGTCCGAGATCCCTAAGGCTGGGAGCGCTGTGCTGGAGTCCTGCACGATGCCTCGACCCCAGCGGTACTCGTTGGCAACTGTGGGTGCGCTGGTGGCCCCACGCTGCTGCACTTCTTGGTGGCCTGCTTGCCGTCTCGCGCTCTGCCGCGCTGGCCAGAAGTAGAAACGATGCTTCTCTGATCCCTCGCCGCCGCATGCGGCGCATCTGTTGCTGGAGGCGGTCCCGATTGGCAAAGAGGTGCTCTGGACTCCACATTCTTCCAACAAAGATCGTCGAGTCCAATCTCGCTGGAGCTGCTGTTCACATTCTTGCCCAACCTGCTCGTGTAGCCACCATGCGTCGGCCAGGCGCAAATCAGCACTGACCGCGCCTATGGTGAGCGAGAAAGGCGCCTGCGATTGCCAGCCAAGCTTGCGAGCCGTGGCCAAAAATGCTCCCGCGGGGCCTCGGACCAATGTCCATGGCCGTGGGGACTGCGACGGGCGAATGCTCCAGCGCTTCCAAGCGGCCGTGAGTCGGTCCGCTAGCGCTGGGTCATGGACTGCTTCCTTCCAAGCGCTGGCCGATTCCACGATGGGGCCTGCGTTGGCGACATGCGCGGGGTCCACGCCCTCGCTTAGCAAAACAAGTGGCGCTGACCGCCCTGCCACGCTGCCGCCAGAAGAACTCGCGACGGCTTGGCGCAGCTGCTGCATTGCACTGCTAACACTCTCGTGCCATAGAGGATGGAGGGCACTGTTGCTGCTGCTGTGACCAGCTTGTTCGCTTGGCCTCCAGCTTTTTTCACTCTCGCAACCGTTTTCCGAGGAGAAGGATGATGATGATGATGATAATGATGATGATGATGATGATGATGATGATGATGATGATGATGAGGAGGAGGAGGAGGAGGAGGAGGAGGAGGAGGAGGAGGAGGAGGAAGGGAGGAGGAGAGGAGTAGAAAGGGAGGGGGAGGGAGGGAGGGAGGGATGAATGGATGGAGGAGGATAAGGAGGAGCAGGATGAGAACGCCTGTTGGTGAGAGGAGCTCGTGCCCTGGGCGGCCGAGGAGGACCTCGGGTGCAGGATCCCGGGCCGACCCCCGCGTCGTCGGCGGCAGCGGCGGCGGCGTCGCAATCCTCGTCGTCGTCGTCGTCGTCGTCGTCGTCGTCGTCGGCGGCATGCGGCGACGTGAGGCGCCGCCGGCGAGAGGCGATGGCGGCGGCTCGGGGCACCGCTGGCGCGGGCGCCGCGCGCGCGGCGCTGCTCGGAGTGCTGCGGAGCTCGCCTCTCTCACTCGCCTCTCGGGTGCGCCGAAGGTGGGCCAGGAAGAGGGGTATAGGACTCCTTAATGGGGTCCGAGTAAACGGGGTCGGACGATCGCGCCGCATCGCCAGTGCATCGGCGATGCGTTGGTTACGTCGACGATGAATCGGCACCGATGGCGTGGAGTGAAATGGGCTCCACATCGGGCCGCATCGGCGTCGGCGATACGGCGCGATCCTTCGACCCTCATCTGCTCGGACCACATCTGGGAAGCCTAGAGCATCATGGTCCGAGGCGAGTGCGCGGATGAGGGGCGAGGGGGGTGGGTGGGCTGGGGATGGAGTGACACAGGGGAGCCACGAGACCTGGGAGACCTCATGGCCCCAGCCATGTTCCCCCCCTCTACTCCTCACCCCTCTCTTCGACGCCTGGCGATTTTCGGGTCATGACTCGGGCCTCTGGCGGCCGCTCGGGACGATTCGGGTACTCCTCGAACATTCTCGACGAGGCGCGGCTGCCAGAAAGCATCCCGAGGCGAGAAGCACCCCAAAGATCCAACCAACACCTCTCCCAAGAGCCAACCAACACGACCTCACCCCCCTCGTCGACGCCGGGCTGCACACAAGAGTGACCCTAGGAACGAGTGACCTTTGGCATGTGGTGCGCGGCCTTAAGAGGGCCGCGCGGGGGGCCAAACCCAAGCAATCCAAGCGCGCCAGTCCGTGCTGGGGGTGCCTCTCTGGGCCCTCACCCAAGGTCACTCCAGCGACAGGCCACTCCTGCGCGTAGGAGGGAGGAGGATCGAGGCTCAAGGGTCGAGTGCGCAGGGGTTGAGATGTGGACCATCGAAGATCGAGGGCGGAGGGTGGAGGGCGGAGGATCGAGGATCAAGGCTCGAGGGTCGAAGGCTGAGGATGCCGAGACGCCCCCGAGCCTCTGCACACCAGCTCGGCCAGCAGGAGGGCCGGCGCGCCGCGCCGGCCTTGCAGCGCCAGGGACGCCCACGCCCCCGCGCCCAGCGCCCTTCGCTCGGGCTCCGCGGGTGCCCCCGAGGGGTGCGACAGCTCACAAAGGCGCCGCCGCAGCTGCCCGCGAGCCTCCTTCGTGAGCCGGCAGGGGGGGGGATGGGGGGAGGAGGGGGAGGAGGTGGAGGGGCGAGGAGGAGGAGGAGGAGGAGGAGGAGGATGAGGATGAGGAGGATGATGATGATGATGATGAGGAGGAGGAGGAGGAGGAGAAGGCAAGGAGGCAAGGAGGCAAGGAGGTAAGGAGGTAAGGAGGTAAGGAGAATGATGGGGTGGAGAAGGTGGCAGTGGCAGTGGCAGTGGCAAGTACCATTCTGCCGCACTATCATTCCACCACTCTGCCTCTCCACAGCTCACTGCTGCTGCTAGTGCAAATGCTACTGCTCCTGCTCTTGCTGACTGCCGCTGCTGGCTCCTGCGCCCAAGCGATGGGCCACTGAGCGGCGCCTTGTGGACCGCCGCCCACGTGCGACAGCGCCTCGCGCGCGTGTGCGGCGCCGAGGCCCACCAGCTCCCCCAGCGGCTCTTCCACGGGCGCCGTGCGGGGGGGCTCCGCGCGCACGCCGCGCAAGGCGTGCAGCGCGGGCAGCGCGCGCGCGAGCGCAGCACGTTCGGTGGTCACCGCGGCCGTCGCGGAGCCGCGCCGCAACAAAGCGACGGGTCGCGCCGTTGCGGCTGCCCCCAGCTGGCGCCACTGCCCGCCCAGCTCGCACGCTGCCGCCGCAGCCGCGAAGGCCACCGCGCCCGGTGGAACGCGACGCTGCATGGCGCCGGCCAGCAATCGAACCGCCTGCCGCCAGCGCGCGCCGCGCGCACAAGCGCCAACAGCGGCGCCCAGCCCAACATCGTCAAACCGTGTCGCCATCGCGAGGATCTGGCAGGAGAGCTCCCACTCCGTGCCCCTGGCAGAACAGAGGTCTCAAAACGCCACTTCACTCAGTTTCGATCCCTTTGCCACCGGCACCCGACACCGTTTTTTCCCTGGACTACCCCCCCTTTTCTGAAAGGTCGCTCAAGCAGATCCAACGCTTTCGCTCACCATCGGGGGCAAGGGAACGCTTTCGGGAGCCAACCTGGTGCAAGCACTCACAAGGGCATTCAGCGCAACGTTGTCCAGCTCCTGCGATCTGGCCTGCAGCTCCGCCAGCAAACTAATGGCCTCCTGCCAGTGACCCCCGAGCTTCAAGGCGCTGATGGCGGCGCTTACGCCCACCAAGCTGGCCACCACTCGGCTCCGCCGAGCGTCGCGAAGAAGCTCCAGCGCCTCGGCCCAGCGCGCGGCGCGCGCGAGGGCGCACGTCGCCGCGCTGAAGCTCACCGCGTTCGGGGCTCCGTGTCCTTGGCGCATCACGCGGAGCAGCCCTGCGGCGTGCGACCAGACTGCAGTGCGGGCGCAGGCGACAATGACGGCCGTGAAGCAGGCGGTGTCTGGGCAGACCCGCGCGGTAGCGGCCTGGCGCAGCAGCTGTAGCGCGTGCCGCCAGCGCGACGCTGCGGCACAAGTGCCGCACGCGGCGCCGAAGCTGCCCGTGTCTGGCGCAGGGTGCCCCTGGCGGAGAAGGGTGTCAAGCACGGCTAAGGCAGTCAGCCAGTGTCCGGCGTGGCCGCACGCGCTCAGGGTGGCATTGTAGCTGATTGCATCAGGGTCCAGGCGCAGCTGCCCTGCTCTGGCTCGTTGAAGGCCCAGGCGCAGCACAAGAGGGGCCCAGGGCCTGAGACCCTGCAAGAGTAGGGGAAAACAAGAAGACAAACTACGAGTTGCCTCTGGCCTGCCCCTGGGCTTTCAGCCGGCCAACCTGCGCTGCAAAGAAGCCGCAGGGCCTCTTGCCACCGACCGCCCCTCCCACAGGCAGCGATTGTTGCGTTCAAGACCACGACGTCGGTGCTGCTGCCGCTGGCGCCCACATTCTCCTGGAACAGCTGGAGGGCATGCAGCCACCTGGCCTGACGCCCGCAGGCCGAGATCGCAGCGCTCGCGCCCGCCAGGCCTGGCGCGAGACGTGCGCGCAGCAGCCCGCTCCACAGCTGCAACGCCCGGCGCCACAACGCAGCCCGGGCGCACGCCTGCAGCGCCGCGGCGCTGGCCGGCCGGCTGGCTGCTGTCGCGCCAGGGGCGGCGGTCGCATCAGCCCACGCGACGGCCACTGCGGCTGCGCTCTTGCGAGTCGAGCTGGCCGTGGCCACAGCGACCGAGGCGCCTCTCCGGCGACGCTGCGCACGGCGCCCACGTGCCGTGGCCGGCGCGGGCCATGCTCGCGCGCGGTGCGAGCTGGAGCCGCAAGCGTCTTGAGCCCCGACGGGTGCGGTTCACCGTGGTGCATGAGCAACTCGCGAGCCACACCAAGCGACCCTGGACTCCGGGGAGATACAAGGCTGTTAATTTACGGCTCGCGCTCATTTGGAACTCTCCAAATGTTCTTTGGCCCCCCTCCCAACCTGCGAACGGTGAACGGAACGCCTGAAACGGTCCAGACTCGAGGTGCGCAGAAACGAGACGCGGACAACGCCTCCCGAATGATGCTCGACAGCCTATCCTGGATCTGTAGCCCAGGTCCCTCTGGCAGGTCCTTCATCCTTCCAGGACGCTGTCCTGACAAGCACGGCGAGCCACACTGGTCTGTGGCTGTGGAAGTCCCGCCCAACGGGCGCAAATAACCAGGCAAACAACATAACCAGCGCTGAATATACGTCGGAGACGACGACGCTGAGAACCAATTCCTCAAGCAAACGGTTATGTCATGATGTGCTGCCAGACCAGCAGTTTGAGATACTTTCAATGGGCACCTTCATGAAGGGCACTCTGCCAGTCTAGGTCACTTCACTTCGCGGGTCGCGCCCCACCATGCACGCTTGACCTGGCGCCCCTGCACCGCCGCCGTGCAGAAGGGCAACTTGTGGATCAGGTCAGGCAACGAGGAAACGCGAAGAGCGATTACCTCCGAGCTCCTGCGGGCGGCCTGGATGTACGAGGTCGCGCTTGCGGTCCGCGGTCGGGAACTCTTGGATAGCGTGTCGCCCCGGCGGCCCCGGCGATACGCTATCCCTTGCAACCGGATAGCGCGTCGCACCGCTCCGCGGGGTAGGACTCCGCGAAAGGCTCGGGACATGGACGCCTCGGGACCGCGACGTGGATAGCGTGACGCTCCAGAGCGCGGTGGGCCAGCACCGGCAGAGCGACACGCTACCCAAAAACTCCCGACCGTGAGCGCTGTGAGAAGCAACCGTGTGTCTAGAGGCCTCCTGGACGGGGTCCGAGTGGACGGGGTCGGATGATCCCGCCGCTTCGCCAGTGCATCACCGATGCACCGTCGATGCATCGACGATGCATCGGCGACGTCGGCGGTGTGTGGGCGAAGCCGGCGCTGAGAAAATCGGGCTCCGCATCGAGCCGCATCGCCGATGCATCGGCGATGTGACGCAATCCTCCGACCCCATCTACTTCGAACCCATCAGGGAGGCCTAGAGTGTCGGCACCTGCGAAATCGTCCCAAGCATGGGCCCCTCAGTACAAGGTTTCCGACGGACGAGCTCTGGGCCGCGGTCCGGGTTGACTCCACAGAGCGGGCACGTTCTGTGGCAAATCATGGGAACCTCCCATGCCATCTTTAGAAGAAAGAAAAAGCTATTAACATCAACTTTTGGCGCTCCGCGCGGATTTCTTGGATCTGCGCTGGACCTCCCTCCCTGGCGCGCGGAGCGCGCCAGGGGCGGTGGCAGAGGCGCCGCCGGGGGGGCCAGCGCGGATCCAAGAAATCCGCGCGGAGTTTCAAAAGTTTCTGTTTATGGCGTTTTTTCTTCTTCGAATCTTGCTGGCTCTTGCGAGTCGACACTAACCGACAGTCGTCGACGCGCTAATTTGCGCTAAGTCATCGCTTTCTCATCGGCTGCCAGACGCCAGCGTACGCTAGTGCACTCTACAAATGGAAGCCCGAGCGTAGGAGGAGCTAGGGGTAGGTAGGTGGGATGGTCATTGTTGTCATTGCAGCTCTGACGCAGCATTTTTGGCTCCAGTCTGGATGGCCAGCAACGGCCAATCTCCCTTCCCAAGGGGGGAGAAGCCTTTATAGCTGCCAGACGCCAGCGTAGGCCAATGCACCCTGAAGATGGACGTCCAAGGGGATACGAGGCTCCCACGAGTTCCTCCCGAAGGCGAGTGTGCTGGCTGGCGGGCCCAGGCGGCCCGATGGAACGCACACGTGCGCGTGGGAACAACTATGGTTGCCGTCGGCGGCGCGGGGCGCAACCGCGGGGAGCCACGAAGGCTCCGGCCCCCAAGAGGCCCCCAAGAGGCTCACAAGAGGCCTCTAAACTCTCCCCTAGAGGCCCCCGGGAGCGCTTCGAAGAGACCCCAAGGAACACCCATGAGGACTCTGACCCACGTCAGCGTCGTCGTCGTTGCCGCCGCCGCCGCTGTCGTTGTTCCCCTTCGGGATCGGCGGCACCAGCCGTAAGGCCTTCGCAATCTGGTCGACGTCGGCGGCGCGGGGCGCAACCGTCGGGAGCCACTGAAGGGGCCCTGGGACACACAAATAAATACACACAAATAAAACAATTCCCGATATTTTCCTATATTTTCTGGGTTTTTGTCTTCCCCCCCCACTCCCCATAGTTTCCCATATTTTCTGGGAATCGCCGATTAATTGTGTGTGTGTGTTTTTCCCTCCTGAGAAGAGGAGAAGACGACATGCAAAGGAACATTCGACGGTCCGCGCGGACCTCTTGGATCTGCGCTGGGCCACCCTGGCGCCGCTTCCGGCGCCGCCCCCTGGCGCGCTCTGCGTGCCTGGGAGGGGTGTCGGGCGCAGATCCAAGACATCCGCGCGGACCGTCGAACATTCATGTTTATGCTGTCCCCTTCCTCTGAATCTGGCGGCCTGATCTGGACATTTTCTCCAGAGCTCGTGCGGTGCCTGGTGAGCTCGGCGGGCTGGATCTGCAGGACAGCAAGCTTGCGCGAGTCGGCCAGAGCAGCACTTTCATTACCCACATCGCTCAGAGGTCGTTTCTTCGCTCTTCCCCAGGGGTTGTCTTGCAACGGCACCGTCGACACAGGTCGCCCCGGCTGGGAATGGGCTTCGCTGTGTTCGAATGCGGTCCTCGACTGAAGAGGGAGGGAAGTAGCCAGCTTACCCGGGGGCAGAACCCGATTAGGAGTGTCAACAGCGTAGTGTTAATTCACTGTCACATTATACATTTCACTGTTAAGAGATCCCTTGCCCGAAGAGTGTCGTACCTCGTTGCGTTCTCCCCCCCGAAGCTCTCCCAGCGTCCTCACACCCCCCGTGGGGGGCAGGTCCTGGGCACGGCTGGGCGCGTGCCGCACCAGACAACAGTCGGCACGACCCTGCGCCGACAGGAGGAGGAGGAGGAGGAGGAGGAGGAGGAGGAGGAGGAGGAGGAGGAGGAGGAGGAGGAGGAGGAGGAGGAGGAGGAGGAGGAGGAGGAGGAGGAGGAGGAGGAGGAGGCACTCAGCGCATATGGGCTGGATGGTCGTCGAGACGGCAGAGCAGGAGCCCAACAGAAAGACCAGCCCTGCCCCACGACCCTGGAAGGGTAAGCCTACACGAAGAGCAGAACATCCACCCGCATAGCAATCCCTCCGGCACGCGAAGCCGCTCAGCAAACGCACCCAAAGGAGGAATCGAGCGGGGCAGGGCTGTTTCGTAAACGCCCGAGGCCGTTCAGTAGACGCCAACTATCGGGTTTGGGTGGTTTGTCCTCCCCTGACTACGGGCTTTCCAGGGAGCCCTCGCAGACGGTGGTCTGATCGTGGCTGGCAGCTGCTCCACAGCACTGCGCTCCCCAAGGGAATTGCCTGCGAACGGCGTGGCCAAGTCTGGCGAGACGAAAGCAGATACAGGAGGAGCTCGACCACCAGAAACCTGCCACAAGAAACCCAACCCTGAGACCGCAGGACGTCCATTGAATTTTGGTGTGGGAGCGTCACGTTTTCCATCGCAAAACCATCGAAACCAAAGAAACTCAGGGCACCGTGGAGGCAAGCATGGTGTTTCTTGGCATGGGTCTCCACTGTAACCAAATCTGGCGAGACGAAACTCGCAGACGATCTCTCGCCGATGCTCCGTTCTCATCTCCAGACTGACTGTATCACCAACCATCTTCTCTGGCCAATCCCGCGATCTGATATATTGCCACGGTTCGAACAGCTCCGACAACCCCATTGACCACATGCCAATCACAACATCGGTTTTGTTGATAGCGCTATCGAGTTGGATCGATCATGCAACCACAGACCCCGTGGTCGGCTGAAAGGAAGCATGCGCCACCTGCCAACAGAGCCTCAAACTACGACGTTGAGGTGCAACAGCCCAGTCCGTGTGCCTCGAGGTCCCTTGCGCCACACTGGCGGAGGATTCAGCTCCGCACTGCCAGGCCGCTGAGGCCACTGCTTGTCGAGAACCTCCTCGATGCCGTCTAGCATCGCGCGGTGGTGCGCGAACACGATGAACTTCTGGTCACCTTAGGGATCGGAGAGAGCTGCGAGAGGGGGTGGCGGAACGCTGGTGCGGTCTTGGGGCCGCGGCCCGCTGGCTGCATGGCCAGCCTCCTCTCGGGTCGAGGCCGCAGGAGCCACGATCCTGCCGCCGCGGGCCTGGCAGCACCCAGGCTGGACTCGGCCCTGATACTCCCCCTTTTCTTCCACACCCTCCGTGTTTGCAGCCGAAAATTTCGCGAGAGTCCAAACCTCCCGCGAAAAAGTCGCGAGAGTTCAGGCCTCCCGCGACAAAACTACAGTCCAGGCCTCCCGCGGAAAAATCGCGGGAGCCCAGGCATCCCGCAAATGATTCGCAAGAATCCTCTGCACCGTGCACTGTTCCCCCTGGGCTACCTCGCCCCCGTGAAACCGCGGAGGAGGAGGAGGAGGAGGAGGAGGAGGAGGAGGAGGAGGAGGAGGAGGAGGAGGAGGAGGAGGAGGAGGAGGAGGGGGAGGGGGAGGCGGAGGAGGAGGAGGAGGAGGGGGAGGAGGAGGAGGAGGAGGAGGAGGAGAAGGAGGAGGAGGAGGAGGAGACACCCTGGACCGACCGACCTTGGCATCTCCCGGGGGGCCGGTGTCTGCTCCCGCCCGCCGTCGCCAGCGGCACCGCCCTCGTGCTGCCTTTCTGAAGGGGCCCAAGGACACACAAATGAATACACACAAATAAAATTATTCCCCATATTTTCCTATATTTTCTGGGTTTCTGTCTTCCCCCCCACTTCCCATATTTTCCCATATGTTCTGGGGAATCGACG